GCACGCAGGTTGTTAATGAGTCTTCCTCCAATCCTGATGCCTTATTAGTAGGTACAGTAGAATACCTAAGTCTGTAGAAACCATCAGTGACTTACAGAACCATTGCTTTTCAGCTCCATGATGTTAGATAGCTTCAGTTTACCAAACTATGGGGCCTATTTCATTATTAGCCTTTAGGGCTGCTGTTAACTATTCACTATTTTATATATGTTTTCCAGCCTGTGGTCAGCATAGCGCATATGTTAATTAATTAATAGGTCACCTTGAATTAAGAATTTGCTGCTTGGAGTGCCAACTGCCAAGGATGGACAGGCCTTAGCTTTCAGGCCTCTGCCTGGCCTCTGCCTGGGAGTCACGTTGTGAAAAGTCCTGCGCCTGTACCCTACCAGTCTGGGGAGAGGGAGGCCCCGGGAGCCTCCCTTGCTCTCTTCTCCTTCTGACCCCGTCTATCTCTGGAACACATCTGAGAAGTAGGACCTGGCCTGCTCCAATAGTGGAGACAGCTGCAGTATTAGGCTCTGGAGGTGTTCTATGGGATATGCTGCCAAGTAGTAGATGAGAGAGGAGGTGGAGTGTAAAAACCAAGGATTTGGAGGGGAAAATGTTTTTAAAACCTTCAGAAGCCACATGTAATAGAGAGAAGGATTCAGGAGGGTTTGGGGCTGACTAGATTGTCTATTCGCCTGTGAGAAGCATCTGGCTCTCCAGCTAATGTGATAAAGTAGCAGTGAAGGGATCTTTTTTTTTTTTTTCACCACCACCACCTCCCCCCACTCTTGTCTTCTCTCACTTGCCTCCTCCAGGCTCCGGGAAGAAATGGGGAGGTGACAATTGAAGGCCACCCAGGAGAAAGTCAAAGAGCGGGATTGCCCTTTGCAGAGCTGGCTGGGACATAGATGTATCTCCCCCAGTGGAAAATTGTCCTATCAGAGCGGAGGGAATTTCAAATAGGGCTCCAGTACATGCTCACCCAGTAAAGGGGCAGGTGAGCGCGCTTCAAAGGGAAGTTGTCTGCACTGCTCTCAGCCAATAGGCAGCTAAACTTAAGGTTCCCTCCACTTCCTGCCTGGTAAAACCCTTTGCTTACTGCTTGCTGGCTTGACAAAGGAGAGAAAAATGGGGAGAGGCAAGAAGTAAGTCTCCCTGACGGGAAGTTGGCTACAGCATTGTGAGCTTGGCCACCCTAGTGCTGCTGGGGCTGGCTCCAGTGCTTCATATTCTTGTAGAGGTTTTCAGATACATGGACTCAAGTCACTTGTCCAAGAAGGATTATTTAAAAATAAAAAGTTAACACAGTGAAATATACAAGAGGATTCTTAAAACTTCATGGACAAATGTAATGAAAAGAATGGGATTTTTCCATGAACTTTTAAAAGCCCCCTTGTATAATACGCATTGGAAGAGGGTAACATTGCATGCATATGGTTGGGTTGGGGCACCAGGCTTTTAGAAAGAATTTTTTATATTACAATGTTTTTTGTTTTTTTTAAAAATTTATATTTTTTTTTTTTTTTAATCTAGAAAGAGTAAACTCATTGTTTAAAGGATAGTCTGATAAATGTTGGAGCCCTGTGGTGCCAAGCAGAACTCTTAGGGTCCTCTCCTCAGTCCCCAGATGTTCCTTCATCGTATATCCAAAACCAAGCATCCAAACCAGTTGCTGTTGACTTGACTTCAACTCATGGCAACACCATGTGTGTCAGAGAAGAACATCCCTGCACAGGGTTTTCAGTGGTTGTGGCCTTTTGGAATTCATTCACCACGACTGTCTTCTAAGGCGCCTCTGTGTAAACTCAAACCACCAACCCTTTGGTTAACCCATTATAGTGGGTTTGTTGTTGTTTTTCAGAGTGTATGTGTGTCTTAATGCCTGTGCTTTCCCCACAGGACATCTGACTTTCTTGAGTGGCTTCAGATGTGTGATGGAGTAGGCGTCAAGACTGTACTTGGTGGTCAGCCAGCTCTATTGATCATTTACCCTCTCTCTCCTTGTATAAAATTAGGATAGAAATTGTTAATATTTGCAGAGTATTCTAAAATAAAAATCTGGCGAGGACTAGAAAGTAACCATAGCAGAGTTCTTTGAATTCTTAAAAGTGAAAAATAGTTTTTATTCCATTGTTCGTCGAGTTGGTTTTGACACATAGCAACCTTATGCACAACAGAATGGAACACTGGGTGGTTCTGTGCCAGCCTCACAATTATTCTTACACTTGAGCCCGTTACTGCTACTGCTTTGCCAATCCATTGCATTGGGAGTTGTCCTCTTTTTCACTGACTCTCCACTTTATCAAGCATGATGTCCTTCTCTAGGGACTGGTCCCTCCTGATAATATGTCTGAAGTGTTAGTTGCTAAGGCACATCTGGCTATGCTTCTTGCAACGCAAATTTTAGGTTCCATGGTGATTCTAATATTGTTCTCCAGCACGATAGCTCAAATGCATGGATTCTTCTACAGTCTTCCTTATTCACTGTCCAGCTTTCGCATCCATATGAGGTTATTGAAAATACCTGGCTTGGGTCAGGCGCACCTTAGTCCTCAAGCTGACATCTTTGCTCTTGAACACTTTAAAGAGGTCTTTCTTGTATAGCAGATTTGCCTAATGCAATATGTCATTTGATTTCTTGACTGCTGCTTTCAGGAGTGTTGATGATTGATCCAAGCAAAATAAAGTCTTTGACAACTTCAATCTTTTCTCCAGTTTTCACGATGTTACTTATTGGCACAGTTGTGAGGATTTTTGTTTTCTTTACCTTGAGGTGCAGCCCATACCGAATGCTGTGTTCTTTGTGTCTTCATCAGTATGTATATCAAGTCCTTTTTACTTTCAGCCAGCAAGGTTGTGTCATCTGCGTCTCACAATTTATTAATGAGCGTTCCTCCAATTCTGATGTCACGTTCTCCTTCATATAATCCAGCTTTTCAGGTTATTTGCTCTGCATATAGACTGAATAAGTATGGGGAAAGAACACAGAGCTGGCGCACACCTTTCCTAATTTAAAGCCATTTCCTCCATTATTATAAAACTCAGTATACGTGGATATATTTACTAATGTACTTTTACAATTGTATCTTAGTGATCTTCTAATTTAACGCCTTATTTCAAAACAGAGGAACTAGAGGCACTTTCTTTAAACTTATTCACGGTTAATTTCTAATGCTGTACCTATGAATATGTTTGTTTTATCCATAAACACCAAGTTCTAGTGACTTCTGTAAAGTTCCAGCATATTTCTGGAGAAATAAGATGAAAAAAAAGTATCATTATTTCTTACTTATTTTCAATTGTGAAGCATGTTTGAATCTAATTCATCTTTTGGAATGAGAAAGCGTTCTCTGAAGTTGTGACAAATCTTAGCAGTGTTTGTGTATTTTTTTTGTTATATGTAATATTGCCTTGACAACCAAGCTGAAGTGTTCAGCTAGGAAGGAAATGAAGTGCACAATTTGGTGTTGGGTGTCCCATCTTCCTGCTCCCTGATGTGCAGGCCTTTACTGTGGGAAAGAAAACGGAATATTATTTCATCAGAAACAAACTTGGGTTAACTTACTTTATTCCTGTGTTTTCCAGATATGCTCTTCCTTCAGGGATCAGAAGTCATATTTAAAGTGGCGTTAAGTCTGTTGGGAAGCCATAAGCCCTTGATTCTGCAACATGAAAACCTAGAGACCATAGTGGACTTTATCAAAAATACACTACCGAACCTAGGCTTGGTACAAATGGAAAAGACCATCAATCAGGTATGGCTCAGGCTGAACCTTCCAGAGACATATGCAGTCCTGGACAGGTAGAAACTTGCATTCCTTTGTGAGCAGATGCTATTTCCTACGTCTGTGTATTCAGAACAGCATCTTATGCTGTGTCTGGCACGGGGGAGGCACATAGCAAACATTCTTTGTGTGTTGAGGTGCAACTGAGTGACTCAGCAGTGTGTGTGTATGTGTGTTGTGAGTGAGATGCTGCCTGGTAACACAGCAGTGATGTTCACGTGGCATCATAGCACACATTATCAGGGCAAAGTTTCTGCCCTCTTCATTCATGATACTGTGTTATTCTAAAATGCACGCATTTTTGTAATGTAGCCTTTTATAAAATGAATGCTTTAGTTTTTCTTCTGAATGGTATTTGTTGAAATTTCCTAAAAAGAGCTGTTTGATAGCAAAATTATTATAAAACAAAAAAACACCAGACACACCGTAATGGAGTCGATTCTGGCTTCTAGCAGCCTATCGGACAGAGAAGAGCTGCTTCCTAGGGTTTCCACAGCTGGAAGTCTCTACGGAAGCCGACTGTTTCGTCTCGCTTCAACAGAGTGGCTAGGAGGTTCAGACTGCCAACTTTGCATTTAGCAGTCCAGTGCTTAACCTCCTGCACCACCAGGACTCCTTAAAGTTGTGCTGCTGTTGTGTGCTGTCAGGTTGATGGAGGCGGTATGCCTTAGAGTCGGCTCCGACTCAGAGTCCCCTTGCCTATCTGCAAATCTCTACAGGAGCAGAAAGCCTCATCTTTTCCTGTGGCTCCCCTGGTAGTTTCAAACAGCTGACCTTGAGATGAGCAGTCTGACTCGTAACCACTACACTACCAGATGTTGTTAAGTGCTCTCAAGTCGGTTCCATCCCATAGCGACCCTGTACAGGGTTTCTAAGGAGTGGCTGGTAAGCTTGAACCATTGACTTTGCGGTTCAAATGACTTTGCAGTCCAGAACATTAACCCACAGTGCCACACCAGGACTCTAGACAGGGAGCATATATTCTATAAGTTTGTTCCATGACATGCTTTTCTGCAAAATTCAATTCTACATTTTCCTTTTCGGTACTTCAATATAAAGTGCATCTGTTACTCTCTGAAATGGTGGAGTTAAGAGGTGGATTTGACTGGGAATTACAACTAGACAAGTTAGTAAATTGTCTGGGGTGGTGGTGGTGGTTAATTGCTGTCTAGTTGGTTCTGATTCATCGTGAACCCTGTACAGGTTTTCTGAAGAGCAGCTGGTGGGTTTGAAATGCCAACCTTGTGGTTAACAGTCTACTGTTAATCCTACAGCGCCATGCCAGGAGTCCGGGTTGGTGGTAGGAGCAGAGTGGTCAAGTCACCATTGGAAGTAGCCAGAGGCTAAAAAGGTTCTGGTAGAGATTCCTCTTATCAGTTACCTCAGAGTCAGCAGTCACAACTCTTGTAAGCCTAGAACTTTAACTCGCTTACTCCAGATTTAATGAGAAGAGGGAACAATTTGTTGTTAAGTGCCGTCGAGTTGGGTGCGACCCATATCGACCCTGTAGAGGGTTACCGAGGAGCAGCTGGTGAGCTTGAACTGCCAACCTTGCAGTTCAAGTGGCTTTGCAGTCTGACGCATTAACCCACAGCACCACACCAGGACTTCTTAGGCAACAGCAAATAGGTAAGCGATTTTACAAACATAATAAAGCCCTGCTGTCAAGATTTCTCAAAATCCAAAAGGAAGCCAGTGGTTCCAGCAAATCACACCCAGGGGCCTGTTTGTGGGTCAGTAGCTGCCCAGCCTGAGGCGCTAAACACAAGAAAAAAAAACACCTGTAGCTGGGAAAAAAGGATGTTTCCCAGCACTTGGCAGTTTGGATGTCTGTGTGCACATTGGCATCGTGAAAATGCTATTGTTGCCCCACTCGGCGCTTACCGCCATCTAGTGCTTACCTCTCCATGTGTGGCACGTCTCCGGCACCTGCCTCCTGACATGCACAGCCCTGACTGTCGGGTCCTCACTAAGCCAGGTTATGTGGGAAGATGTATACACACATGATCTCATTTGATGGCAACCCATAAGGAAAATAGGGCTCAAGGTAGCTAATTACCCAAATTTATCCAGCTATGCCACCGGTATTTTAAATACCAGCAGGGTCACCCATGGTGGACAGGTTTCAGGAAATGAGCTTCCAGGCGAATACAGACTAGGAAGGAATGACAAACTACTTCTGAATATTTAGTCACTGAAAACCTTATGAATAGCAGAGAAACACTGTTAGATATAGTGCCGGAAAATGAGCCCCTCAGGTTGGAAGGCACTCAAAATGTGACTGGGGAAGAGCTGCCTCCTCAAAGTAGAGGTGACCGTGATGATGTGAATGGAGGAAAGCCCACGGGACCTTCAATTGCTGATGTGGCACAACTCAAAATAAAGAAAAACAGCTGTGAACATCTATTAATAATCGGAACATGGAATGTATGAAGTATGAATCTGGGAAAATTGGAAGTTGTCAAAAATGAAATGGAATTCATAAACATCAGTCTCTTAGGCATTAGTGAGCTGAAATGGACTGGTATTGGTGATTTTGAATCTGACAACCACATGGTTAACTATGCCGGGAATAACAAATTGAAGAGGAATGGTGTTGCATTCATTGTCAAAAAGAACATATCCAGATCAGTCATGAGGAACAGTGCTGTCTGTGATAGGATAATATCCATGTGAAGTATGAATATTCCGGAACACTTGTGCTCATGAGGAATCTGGACCTGGACCAAGAGGCAGTTGTTCGAACAGAACATAGGAACAGTGAATGTTTTAAAATTCAGAAAGGTGTGTGACATGGCTGTATTCTTTCACCATACTTTTTCAACCTGTATGCTGAGGAAGTAATCCAAGAAGCTGGATTTTTTGACGAAAAATGTAGCTTCAGGATTGAGGAAGACTCATTAACAACCTGAGATATGCAGATGATACAACCTTGCTTGCTGAAAGTGAAGAGGACTTAAAACATTTACTGATGAAGATCAAAGAGCACAGCCTTCGATATGGATTACATCTCAATGTGAAGAAAACAAAAATCCTCACCACTGGACCAATAAACAACATTCTTATCAACGGAGAAAAGACTGAAGTTGTCAAGGACTTCATTCTTCTTGGATCAACTATCAACACTCATGAAAGCAGCAGTCAAGAAATCAAACGACATATTATTAGGCAAATCTGCTGCACAATTGTCAATGAGCAAAAATGTCAGCTTGAGGACTAAGGTGTGCCTGACCCAAGCCATGGTATTTTCAATAACCTCATATGTATGCGAAAGCTGGACAGTGAATAAGGAAGACCATAGAAGAAGTGATGCCTTTGAGTTATGGTGTTGGAGGAGAATATTGAAAGTGCCATGGGCTGCCCAAAGAACCAATAGATCCGTTTTGGAAGAAGTGCAGCCAGAGTGCTCCTTGAAGGCCAAGATGGTCAAACTTTGTCTCTCATACTTCGGACATATTGTCAGAAGGGAACAGTCATTGGAGAAGGACATCATGTTTGGTAAGGTGGAGAGTCAGAGATAAAGAGGAAGACCCCCCCAACGAGATGGATTGGCCAAGTGGAAGCATCGATGGATTCAAGCGTGGCAACAATAGTGAGGTTGGCCCAGGATCAGGCAGTGTTTCGTTCTGCTGTGCATAAGGTCACTATGGGTCGGTACCGACTCGATGGCACCTAACAACAACAACAACAACAACATCCATATGTATAGATCAAATTCATCGAATTATAGCAATTTACACTGTTTCCTTTATCAAATTTTACTGACTCGATGGGATCTAACAACAGCAACAAATCCAGCTGCAAAGTGGAAGGGTGGGTTTCCCACTAGGACTCCTATCCTCTCAAAGTGCTCAGCACCCAGACCTCTAGGTGGCATTCCATCATAGCGGTTTTCTTCATTTTATCTGCGTTCCATTCCTGAAAACCGATTCTGACTCAGGGCAGCCCCGTGTGTCGTCAGAGTAGAACTGTGCTCTTGGGGTTTTCTAAGACTGAGATTTTGGAACTCAGTCACCAGAACTATCTTCCCAGGGCCTCTGGATTGACTTGAACCTCCAGCCTTTCAGTTAGCAGCTTAGCACATTAATTGCATGAACCACCCAAAGCCTTCTCAGTCCTAGTGGTGGAAATGGCTACTGTGCTCAGCTGTTAACCAAAAGATTGAAAGTTCTAGTCTACTCAGAGGCACCTTGGAAGAAAGATCTGATTATCTACTTCCAAATATTAGTTGTTGAAAACCCTGTGGAGCATAGTGCTACTTTGACATACACGGGCTTGCCATGAGTTACAGTTGTTGTTGTTGTTGTTGTTATGTGCCATGGAGTCGGTTCCGACTCATAGCGACCCTGTACAGGGTTTCCAAGGCTGTAAATCTTTACGGGAGCAGACCGCCTCATCTTTCTCCCGCGGAACCGCTGGTAGTTTCGAACTGCTGACCTTGCGGCTCACAGCCCGATTCGTAACCACTACGCTACCAGAGACTTGATAGCAACTGGATTTCTCTTTACTGATAGTGCGTACTGCATTCTCTGCCCTTGTGATTTGTTTTATGTTCATTCATTCCCTTCTTACCACTCATCTGTCAGTTTGTCACAGTGGTGACTTACATGTTGCTGTGATCCTGGAAGCTATGCCACTGAGATTTGAAAGACTAGCAGGATCACCCATCATAGATAGGCTTCAGCTGAGCTTCCAGATTAAGACAGACTAGGAAGAAGGAGACGCTGACTACTTCTGAATGTTTAGTCACTGAAAACTGTATGAACATTGTCAGACATAGTGCTGGAAGATGAGAACATTATGAATAGCACCAGAATATTGTCAGATACAGTGTCAGAAGAGGAGCCCCTCAGGATGGAAGGCACTCAAAATGCAAATGGGAAGAGCTGTCTCATCAAAGTAGAGTTGATCAAGATGATGTGAATGGAGAAAAGCTTTCAGGACTTTCATTTGCTGATGGGGCACAACTC